GCTAAGTATGATAGTATTATTGGGAGTTAGAACAGGGAGAGATGGCACAAGCAGAAGAATTATATTTAACTGCATTATGTGTGCTTTGAATTTGATCTTGACAAGCAGAGTGATGAAAGTATAACTACACCAAACCTGTATTTTAATCCAACTGTATTTTTGAGTTCAAACCTATATACTTCAATTCTGCTTAGAAGCCCAGAGGAAAGCGTATTCAATGTATGTGACGAGCGTCTACTTACATCCCTTCCCTCTCTTCCACTCCCTACTAAGCTCTTGTTCTTTTTTCTGTATATAACATCAATCACATTTTTTCAAGGGAGAAATCTAAACATTTTTTGATCCTTCCCCCTCCCTCATATTCTAAGCCCACAAATCACTAGTCATCTTGATTCTATCTTTCTTATCTCTTTCTGTGTATTACCAGCAGCTACCACCCAGTACAGCACTGGGCTTAAAAACACAAACTTAGGATCTTGACTGTTTAGGTTCTACATGGATCCTATACCTTACCTGTGACCTTGGGAAAGTTATTTAAGCTTTCTGTGTCTCAGTTTTCTAATCGATAAAAGTATGAATTCTTGAATCTTCACAGGTTGTTGCGAGGGTCAGATGAGTCAACTTTAAGTGATATGTAAGTAAAGTGCTCAGAACCTGATACACAGCAACCACTATATAACTCTTTCTCTTGCCTGGACTACTGAAACACAGTACTTACCCACATTTTAGCTTCCATCTCTTAGTACACTAGGTCTATTTTGTAAAAGCAAGCCAAAGGTATCATTTTAAAATTCAAATCTGATGATGAATTTCTTGCATTTCCCTCAAATGATATTTTATTATCCTTCGATAAAGTTCAAATATGTTAACAAGAGCTTTACATGGATGCAGTGCACCTTCAGATGTATGGCTGCCTACTCTGTCCTCTCATGGGACAGTCCAGTCATGCCAAAATTTCTACATTTGCAGCCCATTTTTAATTAATTAATTTTATTGGTACCTTTTAGATATATATACTGATTGTGTTCATCATAGGGAATGTGTACCTGCACATGATACATCTTGATTCTTTTTTTTCCATTTCCTTCCCCTCCTGTCAACCCCATTTACCCTCCTAGTTTACAAATGCATTGTTTCTATTTTTATCTTTTTTTTTTCTTTTCACTTCGTTCCTTCTCCTCTCCTTAGTTACCTTTCCTATTTTAATATATTTTTTTCCTACTTCACAATATCTATGATACATTTTGGTTCTTATTTAGTCTTTTGATTTCTCAACCAGAGAAACAATGTGATATTTATACATGTGTGCCTGATTTAGTTCACTTAAAAATATGGTCTCCAAGTGCATCCTTTTACCTAGAAATGTCTCAGATTCATTCTTCTTTGTGGCTAGGCAGTGATCCATTTTATAGCAAAACACACATCTTCTTTAAACATTCATTGGTTAATGGACCTTTAGGTTATTTCCAAGATTTAACTGTTACAAACTGTGCTGCTATAAACATCAGTGTGCTTATATTGCTTTTAATTCTTTTCAGAAGATACCAAGAAGTTGAATAGTTGGGTGAAATGGAACCTCTATTGTTTTTTGAGGTATCATTGTGGAATAATTTCTACCAAAAGTAGAGACAGGTCCCTTTTTCCCCACAGCCCAACCAACATTTGTTACTGGTTTATTTTTTGATAATAGCCATTCTTGGTGGAGTTAGATGGAATCTCAGTGTGTTTTGATTTGCATTTGTCAAATGACCAATGATATTGAACACTTTTCATATATTTATTTGATGTTTCTAGTTCTTCATCTGAGAAGTGTCTATTCATCTCAGATGCCCATTGTTTGATTGAGTCTTTAAATTTGTGAAGTCTAATTTTTTTGAATTCTTTATATATTCTAAATATGAATAATATTGTATGTCAGAAAATGGAACAATATCCCTTAATCTTGGGCAGGAAAAACCAATATAGAGAAAATGGCCATACTTCCAAAATTGTCATACAAATTTAATGCAATCTCAATCAAAATACCAAGAGCATGCCACACATAATTAAAGAAAACAATCCTAAAATTCATTTGGAACCAGAAGAGACCTAGAATAGCTAAATGAATTCTAGGAAACAAAGCCAAGGCAGGAGGCATCACCATCCCTGCTTTAAATTATACTACAAAGCTACTGTGATTTAAAAAATAGAACCAAGGATCAGTGAAACAATTCAGAATACACATAAATAACCCTAAAGACAGCCATTTTATCTTTGACAAAGAGGCCAAACACCTTTATTGGAAGAAAGATAGCCTCTTTGATAAATGGTACTACCAAAACTGGCTTTCGTCATGCTGAAGACAAAAACTAGACCTATATCTCTCACCAAACACTAAACTAAAATCAAAATGGATTAAAACAGAAACTCTACATCTGATGGAAGAGAATACAGGTACTCTTAAAGACATAGGTATAGGCAAAGACTTTATGAATGAAACCTCAAATGTACAAGAAATATTACAAAGAATCAACAACTGGGATCTCATCCTATTACAAAGCTTTTATACAGCAAAAGGAAAATAGATAACCGACAGAGTGGGAAGATACTTTTGCCAGCTATTCCTCCAGCTTGTCTTGATAGCTTTAAACTAGAATTTCAAATATAATCTTGCCTCAAAACACTCTATACTATTTTACTTCCTCTTTGCATGGCTAAATCTTCTAATTACCCTATCTAGAGAATTCATAAGCATGAGAAATATTCCAAACAGCTAACCAATGTTATAAGAAACAAAGATTATTCAAAGAGAGGGACTTTTTTTTATATCACATGCTGCCACCTAAATCAAGTTTCATGAGAACTGAGATTTGACCAATGTACTTATCAACATTATTTCTTCAGTGATCACTCACTAAAGGCAATTTCCATATTTGTACAGTTATAATTTTTATGTATTGTGAGTTTTTAGAGTGCAAACTCCTGACATCCAAAAATGTATTCCAAAGTGCAGAACCATTAATCAGCTAGGAAAAGATTCTACATTGTGAAATAGTAAGGTAATGCTATATAATAACAAGTAGAAAAATGAAAAAAACTTCAAATTAGTTTAAATTCCCTTGGAGAGCAAGAAGTAGTATTAGTTTAGCATATAGTTGATGCCCATGCACCTCCCCAGGTAGGCAACTACATGCCAACCATTGTTTTGAAAATTTTATTCAGTTTCTTTATGAAAGGTGTGTTGCATTTAAGAAATAATATTCTCCATGTGCCTAGACCTACCTTGTTTGTCTTTTTCACCAAACCCAAGGACACTCTCTGCATTTATGAAAAAAAATGTTACTTGAGTAAAACTTTTATTTTTAAGCATCAAGCAAAATGAAATGATTGAAAAAATCTAGCCTTTGCCACTAGTGTAATAAAATGTTTATAGTTAGAGGTATCTGTAAAGTTTTTGGTCAAAGAGATCACTCTTATAGTTCATGTTTTCTCTACTTACTATAATTCCTATTCCAAGACTATTAAATGGAAACAAAGATAAACTCATCAAATATACCATATGTGAGTAGATCAAATAAGAGCTAACTTTCACAATTGCATTTTTATCACAGAGAAGTTTTCTATATTCTGAAAAATGTGTATTAACATGATTTTAATTTTTAAAGTATATGTGCATGGTAGATAACATTTTTCACTTTTATCATAGTCTACAATTATAAGCAATGTTACCCTTGACAAATCAAGCTGTAATGAAGTTCATTGTATTAATACCATATTCAACCATGGTCCCAATTCATCAGTTTTGTTGAAATGGGAACTAATTAAAATGAAGGCAAATATAAAATATTGTCTGGCTTATTTTCAGGGCTACATTTATGACAGAAGTTATGTGTTTAAGAAATTAAATGTGGCCAACCTACAATCTTGAACAACCCAAGTCTTCAATTAATGTTAAAATTAAGTAATTGAAGAAAGACATTTAATAAACTCAAGCTTTAAAATCTTCAGGGGAGATCAGTATACACTTCCCCTAGTTAAAGATATACATTCCATCTTCTCTGTAACCGGCTTCTCCTGTGATTTAATTCTTTCTTTCTTGACCTTTACTTAGATGAAACAGATCAAATGGGAAATAACTGCTTACTGCCACTCACACAATCTCTCTGAAATATATTTTGGCTTGTGACCTTTAAATTATGGGGTAAATAAAATGAATCTCATCTCCTTTTATGGACTTGATCTATGGGTCAAGATACGTTTGCTTTTCATCTGTATGAAAATGCTAGAGGCTGTGATTGCCATGGAATAGGTGAGGGGGGGTGAAGAATGGGGTACTTGCCAACTGAGCCAGGGAGGGGCTGAAAAGACAATATGAAATGGAAAGTTAAGGAAGAATGGATTTTTCCTAACAGAGATAGTGATTGCAGATGACCATTTGCCCTTCGTGGGTGCATATGAGGTTCTCAGGACAGTGTGAAAATACCTGACTGTACAGGAAGGGCAAATAGGCAAAAAGCTGCAAAGAAATTACATGTACGGTGGAGTAGCTGTGAGAACAGAGTCTGAAACTGAACAAAATACCTCAGGTGTCTCATGAAATTTCTCTCTCACTAAGAAGGGATGTCTTGTAAGCACCAATTTAACATTAGGGTTGATATTCCCAATAAAATTTCATGGACACTTTTAGAGTTTTCACTGCCCAAGCTATTTTGGCTTGATAAATTGAGCTATATTCTTACTTTCAAAAAATTCGTGTTTTATAAAGCCTGATGATATTTACAGAGATATAAATAAAGTTGAAATTCTAGCCAACGTATCTGACTTTTAAAATCAGTAATATTTTCCTGTGAAATTCACAGATTGTTCACATTGCTTTAGTCAGCATTTAAAGGGAAGTGCGTGCATTAGGGTAAAAATTAATTTATAGTTAAATGCTTTATGTCAGGGGACAGCTTGCCTGCTTGCAATTGTTTGGAGATGAATGTATTCTAAGCAGGCTGCATGCTAATGTTCTTGCCTAGATATCGATGAGTGTGGGACTGGTAGACACAGCTGTGCCAATGATACCATTTGCTTCAACTTGGATGGCGGTTATGATTGTCGGTGTCCTCATGGAAAGAACTGCACGGGGGACTGCATCCATGATGGGAAAGTCAAGCACAGTGGTCAGATTTGGGTGCTGGAAAACGACCGGTGCTCTGTGTGTTCATGTCAGGTTAGTCTAAATACAACATTTTATTTGGGTTTGAATTTGCATATATTTTTTGATTAACACATACATGAATTTCAGCAGGAAAACAGTATAACAGAACATTTTCATTAAGCCCAACTGTTGCCCATGTCCTTTTCTAGTTAGTCCTGCACCTCTAAACCTGGCAGATACTGCTTTCAGTCCCTAGAGATTAAGTTAATTTTGCCTAAAGCTTTATATAAATGAAATCACTTTTTATTTTTAAAAATTTACTTGTTTATTTATTTATTGGTTCTAGTACAAGGAATCAACCCCGAGAATCCTTACTGAGCCACAGCCACGCCATTCTTTGGTGGTGGGGAGGGAGATGGGAACTTGCTATGTTATTCAGTTGCCCAAGCTGGGCCTGAACTCAGGATAATCCCTCGCTCTCCCAGAGCGCTGGGATTATTTGCATGTACCACTATGCAGGCTTATTTTAAATCTCACAATGCATACCCTGTGTGCTTGACTTCTTTGTTTCCATATTGTTTTACATTTTCATTCATATTGTGATACATCTATTCCTAAACAGCATTCTAATACCATCATACTGCAGTGTATCTGTCTATTCACATAAGATTTTATTACTAACTATGCTCATTCTTCTATTGTGATTTATATTTGGATATTAAGTTATATTTGAATAAATCATATTTGAATAAATTTAAAGTTATATTTGATTAAATTTATAAATGAAACCAGAGTAGACAAACTATGAACCAAAAATTAAAAATATCAATATGGTCTATACTTCACTTGAGAAGTTTGTGTAATAGGTACCCAGATAATAATAGAGACTTAAATTACAGTTAAATGAAAAAAAGTATTCTGAAAGAAATTGGAGTTTGTACAAAAACATAAATTCAAAAATATTGTAGAAGTTCAGCAATCTGTAGAACTTACTGATATCTCTCAAACACACATTTGCCTTCACAGAAAACAAATTTAAGTTAGTATTCAAATTCAAATTACTATACTATCTGCCTCCTACACACACACACACACACACACACACACACACACACACACACACACAGACCATGTAGCAATTATCATATGACACAGATCACCAAGCAATAATCTCTTTCTGGTCAAGTCATTTGAGGACAATTGTATAGAAAGAAAATTTGAAGTCTTAGAGCTTGGGTAATTTCTGTTAGCTGTAAAACAGCATTTTAAGGAATTTTATTATGTTAGGTAAAAATTATGAATTATGTCAACCTGCAAAATGGCAGTAACATACTGAGGAATGGGAGTTTTAGGTATCACATTTTCCCTTTTCCTACAGAATGGATTTGTTATGTGCCGAAGAATGGTCTGTGACTGTGAGAACCCAACAGTTGATCTTTTCTGCTGCCCTGAATGTGACCCAAGGCTTAGTAGTCAGTGCCTCCATCAAAATGGGGAAACCTTGTACAACAGTGGTGATACCTGGGTCCAGAATTGCCAGCAGTGCCGCTGCCTGGTAAGTTCAGCTACATAAAAAGATCTTGGAATCTAAACAGGAAAGCAGCCTTACTTTCTCTGTCCACCAACACAAAGTACCCAGCCACAGTGTTTGCAATTATGAAAATATGTGTCTGACTGGGACGATGAAACGAATGACCTGAGAAAAAGCATTCTGGAGTTGACATGGTGCACAACCTTGCATTTGCTTTTTCTGGGAGTGATGTCTCCTTTCTGAGTATTCACATGCCTCTGGAGAAGAAAAGACTCCTCCTTCACCATCCCAGCCAGCTTATACTTACTTAAAAACAGTTATGAGGAAAACAGTGGCATTTTGGGGGGAAAATTCTTTTTTTTTTCAACCAAAATTTTGTTACCCTATCTACTTCTGTCCATTCATCAGGCTTAAAAAAAAACAACTAACTTATTTTCCACCTAAAACTGTTGTCAGTGCTATTCTGGTGGCACTTTGGTTTGCATGTTTTATATTTATTATGTAAATATACTATTTATATATTTACTACACATTTATTTATTACACATCATAAAGTTGGATTTATGTATAAATTTGTGAAACTCTTTCTGGAAACAACAGGAATAAAATGAAATGAAAATACCAGTGTTTTTTCAGTTGAATAATTTTTATTTCTTTCTAATTGTATGAATAAAAAGAGAAATTGCTTTCTGTGTTTCTATAGCAGAGTTTCACAGAAGAGATCACTTTTAAGTGATAGCCAAACTCCTTTCTGTTTGTGAGAAGATATTTTAAAGGCAATGTTTTTTGGTTGCTTCTTTTTTATACTTTTCCAACCAAAAATCAATTAGAAGATCAAGGTCAGTTTCAGCGCCTGAAGGATGCTTTTATCTTTGAAACCTTGAGATTCAGAATCACAAGGAAAATAGGAAACTAGTGGGAATTACATTTTTAAAAAGATAAAATTTCACAATTTTCCCATGTGGAATAAGAAAGACTAAAACCAGTTCCTAAGCATATGTTTGTTTGGAGCATATTTTAAAGTCCTTGTATGTATTAGTTAGCTTTTCTGTCACTGGGACACAGTATCTGACACCCACAACTTAAAGGGCAGGTTTATTTTGCTCATGGTTTCAAGAGATTCAATTCAGTGTCAACAGGCTCCAAGTGAGGAACATGATAACAGCAGTTCATTTTGCTCAGTTCATGATACCTTGGAAGCAGAGCCCGGAAATAATGTCATAAGAAAGGACAAAGGGCCAGACATAGACCTTAGCACAACACCTACCTGACATACCAAGAAATACACAGAAGCAGGTTCCGCAATCCTCAGAAAAGATCTCAAAGTCAATGACATTCTTCCCTGCTACATCTTGCCTCTTGTCAGCTTATCAACATGGTGCCTAAATACATCTCCTTAAACCATACTTAATTTCTGAAAGAGTTGCCGGCCCAGATGAAACACTGTAACCAGAAAAGGCTGCAGCTAAACTCCTCCCCCACCCTGCCCCCTATAGACTTCATTGTAATTCTATATCCCCATCCTTAAGGACCTGTGCGCCAATGAGATACCTGTGCATCCCTAATGGCCTTTGGGGCACTGCCCTAAGCTTAGATTATTTAGATCCCCCACGCCACGTGTCCGAGAGAGTTTTGCCAGAGAGAGTTCGCCAGAGAGAGAGAGAGCTCGCCAGACTCCAGCGCGCCAGTCTCCACTCCCCGTGTTCCCGGAGACACCACCGGCCCCGGGTACAGAGATGCCCAGGGCCGGCGGCGGGGGCCCCCTCCCCGCATTCCCGGAATAAAGCCACCGCTGACCACTACTTTTACGGCCGTCCACTCCGCTCCATTCCTCCCACGGACTTCTCTTCTCCGCCTCCCCCTTCTCCCAGACCTAACAATTTCCAAATAAATACAATACTAAATTCATAATTCCATGTAATGTAATACACATGCCCTGTGTACAATAAAGAGTGCCCTGAGATCTCAACAGTTCCATCATCTTCTGAAAATACAAAACAGTCTCTTCTGAGACTCAAGGAAAACTCTTAGCAGTAAACCTCTGTTAAAATAAAAGACAAATTTTATAATCCCAGGTACAATGCCTATGGTAAACTTTCTCATTCATAAAGGGGGAAATAAGAGGATAAAAAGAATACCACCAGAGCAAGACCAAAACCCAACAGGCAAACATTAAGTCATGTTTCCACATATGTTATCCAGCCTCCCCAGCGGTGACATGTGAGTTTCAGTGGGTGTGAACAGCCCTACTCCTGTGACCTTGCTGTTTGCAGCCCACGTGGTTTGTCTCTTGGTCTAGCTCTGCTCATAGTCTTTGGCTTTCCTTGAAGATTACAAATTCCTAACATCTCCAACTTCCCATGGTCTCTACTTGTATCTTTGACTCCATTCCCACAGCTTCATAGATGTCTTCTTAGGGCTCCTTTCCTGGCTTCCACAACCTTTCTTTGAAATCCAGGGGACAACTCACTAAACCCATAAGTCTTCATTCTGCATGCCCATAAAACCAGCACCATGCAGGCAAGGGTGGTGTCTGCCACTGCTGCAGGCTGTAACCGGGGCCCTTTGCACAATGGCTATAGTAAACTTTAAGTACGCAGGTGATGAGCATAGTGAAATGAACTCTGGGAAACCAACTTTCTAGGCAGCTTTTCTCTAGCAGGGGCCAAGGACTCTCTTTTCAAACGAAAAGTTTACACTTTTGGACCTTTAAGCTTGTGATAGGTAGAATCTTGCTATTCCCTTAATGCATCCTTCTTCTTGTCCCTGTACAAAGTATGTTTCTTTTTAATTGCATTAAACTCTTCATCAAGCACGCCTCCTTTGGCACCAGTGTCATAGGTGGTTCACTGACTTTTTCTCCCAGTTCTCACATATATGTCCAGCTAAAAACAGCCCTTAGTACCCATGCCACACAGGCTGTATGTTGAATTGCCTTTGAATTTTCACTTTCAGATCAGTTAATACACTGTCCTTATTCTTTCTCCACAAAGTCTCAGTACATTGACAAGATGTACTCCATATTTGCCAGAATGTAGTACACATGACCTCTAGTCCAGTTGCCAATGTAGTTCTCATTCCCAATGGAAGCCTCCTGGCCTTTACTCTTTGCATTCCTGTCAGTATCCTGTCTTCTGTGCTACAATCAGAATCACCTATCCTCTGCTTGCAGCATTCTTAGGCTTCACTAGCCAATGTCTCCAAAGTTTTCCAGATTCCTCCCACCAACCAGTTTCAAAGGCTTCTAAGCCACATGGTCAGGAATAATCATAGCAATGACCTCGTTTTTCTGGTATCAGTCACTAAGACACAATACCTGACATCAACAATTTAAAAGAGGAAAGATTTAGGTGGCTTACTCTGTCAGGGGACTGGGCCCATAGAGGCGTGGCTACAAGGAAGGGCATGTCAGAGCAAAGCTACTTAGTTTATAATAGCCAAGAATTGGAGCAGTATAGCGGTGACAGATAGGAAGGGGTGAGGGACCCCAAGCTGCACGTTCATAACCTTCCCAGACTCACTCAGAAGTGTGTTCTACCAATCCTAAACCCAAACAAATTGATTCTCCTCCCTAACTGCCACACTATACTGAAAAATGTAGCTTTTTCTGTTACTGCACAAAGAACTGTTGAATCCCCTTCATATTTCAGGTTTTCTTTGTACATAGACAAAGTTTTCTCTATGAGAAAGGGATAAATGAGAAGTTTGGAGTAAAAAGATGAAAATGGTATCTTGTGTCAGAAAGTTAAATAGAAACCTCTTCCACATTAAATAACGTCTTTGTCAGGAAAAGCTAGAGGGATGCAAATTTTATTGCTTTGAGAGAAATGGTTGTGGCTTTTGTGTTATTGCTGTTGTTCTTTAATCCTTAAAGATTGTTTAAAAATTCAACTGCAATATAGATAGAACTCTGATAGAGCTTTTGCAGATTGCCTGCAAGATTCATGGGCTTTGAAGGTCGAAGTATAACTATCACTCAAATAAATTGAATATGCTGTAACACTGTTCTGCTTACCTCCCTCTCTGCCTCTTCCTTCCCCACCCTTTCTCTCCTTCTGCCCTGTTCTCCTCACAGCAAGGGGAAGTTGACTGCTGGCCCCTGCCTTGCCCAGATGTGGAGTGTGAATTCAGTGTCCTCCCGGAGAATGAGTGCTGCCCCCGCTGTGTCTCAGACCCTTGCCAGGCAGACACCATCCGCAATGACATCACCAAAACTTGCATGGACGAGATGAATGTGGTTCGCTTCACTGGATCCTCTTGGATCAAACATGGCACAGAGTGTACTCTCTGCCAGTGCAAGGTAAAACCCATTGCATTCAAGTAGTGGGCATTGCCCATCTGCACCCAATCTCTGAGATGCAAATGTGCCTAACCTGGATGATGGGAAGCTTCTTCTTCTTCTAGCTATTGTTCAAACAGAGGTGGGGAGAATGGCACTCAACTTTGTTAGTATCAAAACTGATTGTCAAGTACACTCTCTGATGTATATTCTGAGAAGAAAGTGAATGGATTGCAACCAGCATGATTAGTAGAAGCAACGCACTTAAAATTGCCTCATGTATCTAACTGTAAACGTCTTTTAAAAAGCTGCAGCACCAAACTTCATGTTTCTTCTGTCATGATGAAAGACAATATTATTTTATTGATTTTTATCTAGTTCTTTTATGAAGTCTGTAAAATATATTGACAAAGTAGATACACTACATTTTCTAAAGTGGAAATCAATAAAGCAAAATGGGAATGTTTCTCAGTTTGTTGTGGTCAGTTACATTGAGTTGAAGAATTTAAGGTCTGTGTTTACCATATTTTATTTGTACAGTTGGTGAAAAATCATTATAAAGATTTTTCTCTTTATTCTCATAGGAAAACAGTACCTTTTACTTCAATGAAAACAAAAATATAGATAATATAGCCAGGAGTAGATAGAGTTCAGAGTGATCAAGTTGAAAGCATTCGGATCATTATTTCTATAAAATTTAATTTAGTAGCCTTTGTACTTCAGAGTCATAATTTTAAGATCAACAGTAAAATTAAATATGTAATCTAAAGGTTAAAAACAACTATAGCAACAACAAAGTAAAGATGTCAGTTTTTCTCAGCATTGCATGTTTCTGTCTACTCTGGTTTTTAAGTGAACATTGTATTTTGTAAATTTTTTTCAGTAGAGCAATTTAATTCAGATTCACTTAGTTTAAATTCTTACTGGAGTGGGTTGGTTTAACAGGACAAGGAAACATAAAATGATTTAGGGTTTGAGATACTTCTTTTATCTTTTTCAGACCCAAATTTCTAGTTCTTCCAATCAGTGCAATTTGTCAATCAAGCAAGGCTTTTTCAGCGAACATTTGCTACTATTTTCTAAGAATACATTAGCAAATTTGAAAGTAACTACTACTAAAAGTTAGTAATGATGTAGATGCAGTGCTACTTCAATCTATGCTTGATAGGAGTACATTTTACAGTGAATTCTCAAAACTTGAGCACCGATGACCAACAGTGAGTTCTTTCTGTCATTTAATTACTCAATAGAGTTGAGTCTTTCTACACCCTTAAGCTAATAAATTATTGTCCTAAGCAGTGGCAATAGAAATATATACCAAGAGATGGCATGAAAATTACACTAAATATAGCTCAGACAGGTACTTCCAGCAAGAAAAATACATTTACTAACAGGCAGAAAATATTAGAGTTTTTTATGGAATACAGAGCATGAATGAGATTACAAAAAGTTAGTATAATCTTTTGCCTCTTGATAGGAATGTATTATGTACTCCAGAAAGTGTATTTTGATATTAAAGCTATTTATTCTTGTCAGACAAGTGCTGATTCTTAAAGTTATTATCTTATACACATATATTTTAATGACAAGTTTAATTTTAAGAAAATTATTCTGTTTGGAAAAAATTTATTTTATTACATTTATTTTGTGCTATTTTAAAAACTAAAGTTTTTGCAAATCTAGCTTTAGTTATTTTATTGGAGATGATGAACATTCATTAAAACTCAGTATTTTCAGGGCACTGATTTTTATTTATTACTTCTCCATCCTACTCTGACTTGCTCACTTTTTGGCAATAAATAGTGACAAATTTGGAAAATTCTAATTTGATTTCTAGCCTACAAAATTTAATTTTTACTTCATAGCCATAATTTTGGTATCTAAACTAAGTAGTGTAAAGGTTTAACAACAGTGTGGGGTATTGTGCTGGTATAAGAATATAGTGATAAGAAAAGCCAGGTACAATCATTTCTGAAAATTATTGTCTAGCAGCTTATTGTCTAAAGCTATGGTATACAGGCCATTTAAATTAATTAAAATCAAATGAAATTTGAAACTCATTCGTCAGGTACCTAGTCACATTTCAAGGGCTTATAGCCACATGTGAGTGCTTAGCACAGGTTAGGGAACATTTCTGTCTTTGCAGAATATTCTTTTGGATGGCAGGAATGCACCCTAAGAAATCAAGTTTCCAGGAGGCAATCCATGGTATATCACATTAATTACATGACTGGGCACCTTCCTTCATCCCTCTGTTGATCAGCTTGATCGTTTGAAAAATGAAAATAATGATACTTACTTGGGATATGTAATGATACCTACTTGAGAAAATTACTATAAGAATTGAAACAATCCACAGTAAATCCCTTACATTACTAACACATCAGAGTAAATTCTCAGTAGGTCCTAGTTGTTACTATGTACACCAAATAAACATTAATAGAGTCATGGCACAAATAATATTACAGCTGTAATGGGTACCATGCGACATGTACCATGCCAAGTGACTGTGCAGCATGTGAGCCAGGTACTTACTGAGGAGTAAATATCTCCTCAATAAGATTGGAACTGAAGATTAGGAGCTATAAAAGGGTAGGGTTTTCCCTTTTACCTTTTTGGAAATTATTCTCAAATTGTATTTGCTAAGGTTAAAAAAAGAAAACCTGCATCACCCATTTAGTCTCTCTCAGCTGGGGCTCTCTATGTCTCTTCTGCAGTTTGAGAATCAGCCAAAGATTTGAGGGAGGTCTGTGTTCATTCATTCTTTATAGATATTCTCCCCATCAACTTTGAGCTACTCTGCTAGCCCACAAACTGTCCTCTGACTTTTCAAGCCTAAAAAAGTGTGACCTTCTGCTTGAGTTATAGCTGCCCAGACCCAGCGAGTGCCCCAAGGGGAAGAAAAATGAATCTCCCACAGTACATTTCCCTTCTTTCAGGGTTGAAACTCCTGCAGTGTCAGCCTGCCACTGTCCATGCCTTTCAATTGTTATTTTAATATTTAGTCCTGATTTTGCAGTTGTTATCTAGAGGAAGATTAGCCTTACATATGAAATTAGGCCATTACTGAAATAGGAACCCCAGTGGGATGTTTTATTCCTCTTTCCTTGAAGTATGTTTCCCTAATTAGGGAGCTGACAGTCATATAGCATGCAGAACATTTGTCCTATAAATTGCTAAACATATTGACATGGAATAAGAGAAAAACTGGAAGACTTTCAAAAATAAATACCGGTAGAGCCTTCATAAAACACACAGATGGGACCCATGCCAGTGGCTTTACCTTACAGTGCTCTGGTACTACTGTCACATACTCTGGCAGAAGGCACCACCAGTTCCTAGCTCTATTTCTATTCAGAAGCCCCACAGTATAAGGAACTGATTCTCTCAGGAATTAGTATTCTCATCACCTCCTTGGACCAATAGATTAGGAGAGAAGGTGTAACCAGGCTATTGTTAGAAAACTTATGCCTCCAAGCAGAAAGGCAAGGCTTTAAAATGCCACTAGAGAGCTCAGAGATGATTTCATCTCACTTTCTCCCAGAATAATACTTCTGCTTAATAGTCATTTAGAAGGATGCGGACCAGGTTCAATTGATAGTATTCTTTTTGGATACACAGACTGGCTTTTCCCCTCATTTGGTGCACTTCAAAAAGAGATAGAACATTACATTTTCTTTCTTAAAGTTTTATCTTATAGAAACAAAGACCTTTTTAGTCATATTATAAGATAATACATATTCATTCACTGAAAGTCAATTATCTGAGAGAAAATACAGAATGGAGGATGAGTTGTAGTGACAGTTCATTAAATGTGAGTTTTAACCCCAGCTCTACCACTTCTTAACTGTGTGATTTTGGACATGGTATGTAAGCTTCTTGATGTTAAATTTTTGATCTAGAAAGTGTGACTATTTATAGTGAGCCTACTGGGTATGCTGTGAAGTTGAAATTAGATAATGTACTTAAAATTCCTGACAAAGTGTCTTATACAGAGTATACACTCAAAAAGTGCAAGGAAGTCATCATCACTGTGATTATAATAATGACATTAACATTACCATCATTAGTAGATAGCTGGTTAAGAAAAGTACGAGTACAAGAAGAAGGTATATAAATTTTCCTTCTTTTAGTACTTTATATCATTTTGATACTCTCTTATAAAACTAATTATATTTATCCATCCCTTGCTGGACTATTTCCCACATTTCATCTCTACATTATTTTCTCCACCAATTTAAAATTCTCACCCAGACTCCCTTTGAGTTTCATTTGTCACTTCACAGTCACTTCTCATGCCGTTTCCCTGGGCTTTCAGCCTCCCCTGGCATGCAGCTGTCTTCAGATCCTGATTTAAATATCACCTCTGCAGAGAAGTCTACCCTGGCCACCGATCTAAGCAGACAGTCTTTTGTTCATTTCGTAACACCGCCTAATTGATTTCCTCTTGTCTGAGTTTGGGCTGCTGTCACAGAATACCTCAGACGTGGTGGCTTAAACAACAGAAACTCACTTCTCACAGTTTTAGATGCTGCCAAATTCATTTCTCACAGTACAAGATCAAGATGCTGGCAGATCTGGTGTTGTAGATTGTCATCTTCTCCAGGCAGCCAGCAGAGAGAGAAGCAGCAGCGTTCTTGCATCTTTTTAGACAGCATGATTCTCGTTCTTAAAGGCTCTACCCTCATGTCATAATTAACTCCCAAACACCTCACCTCCTAATATGATTACATGGGAGATGCGGGTTTTTGAGAAGACACAAACATGCAGTCTGAAACACTTTTCCTGTACGTCTTACAATTTGTTTTCTTGATTCTTACTTGGTTTCTCCTGCAGTAAAATGTAACTCACTCAGGTTAGTACCCGGGTCTACTTTATTTAGTAATGTATGTAGTCTTTCATATACTAAATATCGTGAGCTAATAAATAAAAGGGTAAATATGATACACATTTAAGCTGTTTTACTTGCCATGTATGACTGGGTATAAGAATTCTGCAAAGGTAGTCATCTAAAGCTATCTGATCAATTTTCAATATTCAATAGAATAAACTCTACAGTTAGGTTTGTATGTACTAGTCAATAGAAATAATCATTTACTAATCGCTAAAAAATTAATACATCATCTTTCTTTCTCTAGAATGGCCAAATTTGTTGCTCAGTGGATCCACAGTGCCTTCAGGAGCTGTGAAGTCAGCTGACTGATGAAAGATTTCTGTTTCAAGAATGTCCTTTCATTCAAAAGACCAAAACAAAAGTTAAACTTTAAATTGGACAATTTGTGGGCAGTTAAGTACAGCTTTGTTAATAGCTGAGTAAACTTTCAGTTCTGAGGTCTGTGGAGCTTGAGAAAATCACAAAAGAAAAGTTGTTGGGGAAAACTGGATCCCAACTCTGCCTCTACTGCTCTGGACGTCACCCTGAGAGAAGGCTGGGTGGGCGTACCCACCTCAGAGCCACCCTGATACCCACCCCAACGCCAGAGAGGAAGCAGGAGCCGTGGATCTGAGAGTCTCTGGCTTCACTGGTGCAGAAGTTTTCCTTCTAGATTAGAGTCTTCATGAATCAGTAGGGTCTCACTGCGAAAAATCAAATGTAAGGCAGTGAATGAATTATATTTTCAGAAGTAAAGCAAAGAAGGTATAACGTGTTATGTACAGTACACACTCCGAAAAGAAATCTGAAACAAGTTATTGTTATGATAAAAATAATGCACAGGCATGGTTACTTAATATTTTCTAACAAGAAAAGTCACTCCTATTTCCTTGTTTTACTGCACTTAATATTATTTGGTTGAATTTGTTCAGTATGAGCTCGTTCTTGTGCAAATTAAATAAATATTTCTCTTACCTTATAACATGTGTGAGTCTTTGTGTCTTGTTTAATGTGTTCCTCTTTTCCATAGAAAATTCAAAATATGAATTGCTTTCTAGTTCTGCTACTGAGAAGCTCCCACTGTGTTAATTCCCAAGTGAACAGTGACTGTCACTAAATCATATGCTTAAGTGGGGATAAAGTGGATATCTTTCTAGATCCTGAATTCATTTTTCTACCTTGCTTTTGTATAATAACCAGGGAAGCTGACCTATACAAAAGGTATCAATGGGTTCTCTCTCCTCTGGATTCTGGTCTGGTCTCAGTTGTATTGCAGAAGGAACACTGGTAGCATAGCAGCCTGAGGTAAAACTTGGACATTTATTTCACTGGCTTCCTTTTTACCAGGTCACCACCCTGACTGGCTGTGTCACCTTACTGAAGGCTGCAGCTCCTATGGGCACCTTCCCTGTCCACCCACCCTATTTTACATATTATATTAGCTTCCTCTGCCTTAGAGATGGTAACAACTACGTCCTTGGGAAGTCCCTGCTCTATTTCTTGTTGGTTTTCCTATTTCCAGTCACACCCTTATAACGGTCCCTTTGTTAAACTCTTTAATCAGCCATCTTAATTGTGCCATCTGTTTCCTGCCAGAATTCTGACAGATAAACATAAGGAGGGGAATACGTGAAGGTTGAGAATGTCTTCAAGAATTGGCTCTTCACATTTGGCTATATAGATCCTTCTCAAGGTTAGAGGAAATTATTCCATGTTAAATTTCTACCAGAATCGCAAGGGAAGAACAAATATAAATCCAGAATGAAAGTTATTCCAGTATAATTTTTCCACTTTTCTTACATTTTATACTGGGATGAAAAGAAATAAAAGTATCATCAAGTTAATTTTCAGCTGCATAAAGGCATTTTTCCTTTAGAAAAAAATATAAGATGACCACTAAGATGGTACAGAAATGTTAAAGTAGCTTTTAGCTATCCTGTCACCATTGCTATGGAAACAACCTAAGATGGGTTGAGTGGAGGAATATTTATAATGTGTCAACACTTAGGCATGTGTAATATTCATTGCCTGTGTAAATTCAAGTACTCCTGTATGTTCCCTGGATTTATCATACAGAATTTTTGTAGCCTTTTTATTTACTTTAAATTTTCAGCAAAGCATAAGGCTTATTTTTGCCTACTGTTTTACCATGATAAGTAGCAGTTTAGTGTCCAGGAAAGTATCTGTTAATTTGAAAGCTTTGCCACATTCCTTTTTTAAAAATAGGTTTATCATTTCATATTTATTACTGTTAAAACGAATTTTACTTGTTTTTATGACCGTAAAAAATTGTGTACTCGTACATTTATATCCATTCACTAATATATTCATTATATAGATATGTTTCTGGAAGGGGGGTGAGTCTGGAATTTCATAGTCTAAATCATTTTTAATTCCTTATAGTATTCTGAGCCTCTTGGTGATTCAAAGACTCACACTTTTCATAAATGATGGAATGCAATAAAATTCATAATGCTGAGAAGAAAGGGAGAAAAACAAGACAGTATTTTTATCAGAGCTATTAAAGAATCTGTTCACAATGAGTGTTCTCCCTTCAAGGGGAAATACTTTAAAGAGAAGATCCACCCCCCCCCAGAGAATTACTGTTTTATCTGAGGACCCCTACAAATAGTAATCAACTATTGATTAAGGACCGTGTCCCTTGAAAACAGACAATTAATGCCTTATTCTCACTGATGATAATTGACAAAATGCGATGGTTGAGTTACACAAGCATTATGGGAAAATGAGAAGAAACATGAATTTAAGCTGAAGGTACTTAGCCCCTTTAAGTGCTGGGCTTGATAGAAATGGTTCTTATTATATTTCCTTTGTTTCTCTTCTAAGGGGAAAAAACAGCAATAATAGAGGACTTTGAAATATGTTTCTTTAGTAAGTAATATAATCTATATAATTTACCCACCTGATTGAAAGACTGCCACATTCCTGTGTTGCTTATCTTTTGTGCTGGTGAAGAGTTCTGGGTGTGTTCAGTTACACTGCAAAGTCATGGAAGACTTTATCCTCCCAATATGCGGTTGTCTACAGCTGAAGTTGAGACACCCTGCAACTGCCTTACAGAGTGAACAGTATATCAAAAGTCTAAAGCAGCAGTCAATATTCTCGAGTGCTGGAGTACAGGAGTTATTCAGTTGAACAAAGCTGAAGTTACAGGTACTGAATAAAAGATGAGCCTCGGTTCACTAAGCATTACCTCATCTATCAAAATTCCATACTGCTGACTAGTTAGGAGTTCTTCTGAAGGTCAGCAGATCCCACAGACACCTGCATGGTCTCAGTCTTATTGATCTAGTACTTAAGCATTAATGATACCAATTGTTTTTAGAGCAAGACATTTTGTCTTTTATTTTTGCAAAGAGAGAGTGTTTATAGTCCAATAGTCAATTGACCTCAGAGAGATTCATGCTGAAAGGACGCTTGAATGCAACTCAGGAACAATATGTTCTCAGTGTGCCGTTCAATGTGGTAGCTGGACCACTCCCTCTGCAGCCACCGTGGCAGTGGCTCTCTGTGTTCTTACTGCCTGTCCATTATTGATGCACTGTTCTGAAGCCTGGAGTTCAGTGTCTACCATGAAATGATTGTCACCTCTTTGCAGAATAATTGCCCTTACTTAAAAGAACTGCAGGTAGAGAGGCAAAATATCTTAGACTATAGTGGCTCCAAGTCTGTGGCGACACAAATTGGCACAGGTTAGACCCTTTGCAAGAGTTTGGATTAGGATTATCTAAGTCTCGGTGTCTTTCATGCCTTCTGTCTGCCAGGAGGCCATCTTGCTGCTCTGAGATTAAATCACTTTTTATAAGGTTGTTTGCATGACAGATTCTGAAATTTTTCTGTACTCTGAATGACAGATGGCACAATATATGAATGTCACTGCCAAAATATTTCATTTAAAACATGCTGTCCTATTTATTTTCAGTGTTAGCTGCTTTAAAATAAGTACTTAAATAAGAGTGTGACTACATGCAAAGGTAGAAATGATGCTGAGTTATTTTCAATAATCTATCTCTTTCACTGAACCACAGCTATAAATAGGGGGAAAGAGAGAAAATTTTGTGAACTATAATTGTATGGCTAAAAAAAAAAAGAAACTTAGAAGTATGTTCCTCAAGAGAGATGTATGACCATATGAAGAAAATACAAACCCATGCTCAACAAATAATTTTTGAGGACCCCCCCCCCATTCTAGGCACCACTATTCTCTGTGCGATGAACCTGTGGAGCTTGCTAACTTTACCATCATAGGATTGTTGTGAAGGACTCTCCAGGAACCATAGTGAGCAGTGTGAATAAATTGTAAATATTCATTTAATGCCTACGCACTCAATATTAACAAATAATATTTCTAATAGTGACAAGTACTGTGACATAAAATTAGGCTGCGTTGGGATGGCAATAGAATAGGGATCATAGTTTAGCTAGGGTGGTTGAAAACCTTCCCTAAAGTAAAGAACTTTAGAGCAAACTCTTGAATGGAGTGAGAATGAGCCATCTGCATATCTAGATGGGCAATTACCAGCCAAGAGAACAGGCTCAGAGCTGAGGGGGTAATATCTCGAGAAATGGGGTAAGCTCGCTGAATAAATGGGGTAAGCCCGCTGAATGCTTGCATGTAAAGCATATAATCAGAGCAGTGCTGATGACCTAGTGAGATCCTCCTAGACCATGACTGCGGGATAGGGTTTTTATTCTTACTGACATGGGAGTCATTAGACGGTTCTGAACATAACTGTGCCGTAATCTTACAGATCACTGTTGTTACTTTGTGGAGAATAGACAAGGGTAGGAGTGGGGCGTAAGAGGTGGCCAGTGGGAGGCACCCCAGGTGGCATTCATACCACAGGATTTCAGACTGATGTTAACGACTTGGGCTAGCCTAATAACAGTGAAAGAGCTAAAGGAGTTAATATTAAAGAAGCCAATTAAATGAGGAAATGGGTAAGAGACTAAATATCACAAAAATGTCAGTTTTCCCCAGTAGTCTAAGAAGGAAAAAGTCTTTAAAGATGGCAGTAAATTATTATAGAGAAACAAATGCTCAAAAATGGGCAAGACTGTTAGAAGAAGTACATTTGAAGACAGTGGCATTTGCGCTACTATGTATTTGAAAAAGACATGAAGGTATAAGGATTGAATCAAAGTTGAATAAGAGATAGATAAGTAGGGAGATGCCAAAATGTTTGTGCAGATATGTAACTTTGGAATATACACAGAAGGCAAATAATTTAATTCTTTTCCACAATTCTGGTCACTAACTGAATTGTATTGAGAACTGCATCAGGAATATAAATAATTTCCCTATAAGGTCAACATTGAAGGTATCTCTCTCTCTCTCTCTCTCTCTCTCTCTCTCTCTGTGTGTGTGTGTGTGTGTGTGTGTGTGTGTGAGTATATATATATATATATATATATATATATATATCCTAAAATTCAAATGGAACCAGAAAAAAAACTCAGAACAGCCAAAGAAATCTAGAGCAAAAACAGCACAACAGGAGGTATTGTGATACTATATTTCAAGTTATACTACAAGGCTATAAGAACAAACCCAGCACACTTCTAACACAAAAATATAACCCAATGGAGTAGAACAAAAGACATCAAAACAACCCATACACAATCGGCCTTCTGATTTTTGACAAAAGGATCAGAAACATACATTGGAAAAAGCATGTTTAACAAATGGTATTTTCCATGAGAAAACTGGTTTTCAATGCACAAAAGATTCATAATAGATCTGTATGTCTCATCCTGTACTAAAATGAAATAAAAATGCATAATACCAGAAATTTTGATGCTACTGGAAAATAACATAGGGAAACACTTGAAGCTATAGGCACAAATAAGTACTTTCTGAACAGGAAGTTCAATAACATGGAAAATAATACCAAAAATAAACAAATGGAATTACATCAAGCTAAAAAAATTATACACAGAAAATGAAAAGCCAATTACAGG